AAGGAACTGGCCGGCGGGAAGTAGGGCTGGCTGGGAGGCAATCAGAGGAGCGGAGCTGATAGGGAGGGGGGGAACCAGCCAGCGGGGAGTGGGACTGACCCAGGTGCATGCAGATCCTGGGGTGCTTCCTGTCCCGCGCACAGTCCCGGCGGGGTGCATGGGTAAATCCAACCCCAGGATTCCATCCTCCCCTGCCTCTGCCCTCGCCCTCCTCTTCTCTACTGTGTAGCTGCGTACTGCCTGGCTGGTAGACACTCTCACGCAGTGTGAGCATGTCTACCAGCCAGGCAGTACACAACTACGTACTGATACGAGTCATGATAATAATAAAACTTACTTAATTAGAAAATGTATATGTCCGGTATTTTCTCAATTTGTTTCCCGGACAGAAAGCTCAAATACCAGACTGTCCAGTTCAAAACCAGACACCTGGCAACCCTATTAGCCACCCTTGCTCACAAGTTTAATAAAACAGACCTTTTATAAATTACAGGTTGGACCTTTCCAGTCTTGCACCCTTAGGACCTGATCAGTCCCAGATTAGGGATGCAATAGTGTAGTGGATTAACCGATAAGATAAAGCTTATAGGTTAATGCTCTAGACCACATGCATTTCCCCTCCCCACCCCAGCCAGTAAATTTTTTAGCAGGCTGGCCAGCAACCTGCCTCTGTCCTGGCTTGCAACAGGTCCAGGACCTATCCTTGCTGCGGCTCTGCATTTAAAGTGTATTAGGATCCAGATGGGCAGGAAGCCTGGCTCAGTTCCAGCTCATGCCAGGCCTGGAGCTCAGACCCCTCTACACAGGGGCTGCTGCCACCACATGCTGCTTCAGCTTTATCAGAAGCTGCAGCACAGGGCAACAGGCAGCCAGACCACAAAGAGGGCTGGCTTTTTAATTTGGTTCCCCTCGTGGACCAGCTCCCACCTGGCATCTCGTGCTGCTACCTCTGAAACAGAGACAGAAGTAGGGGGCTCCTCGGGAGTGAGGCTGGAGCGCACTGGCTGCTGGCCCCGCTCCTGGGTACTATAGAATAGTTGACTAACCAATAAGAATTCATGAGGTTGCTCAACTATTCAGTTAACCAATATTTTAACATCCCTGTCCCAGGTGAGGTATTTTGCTGGACCAGGGGAGGTCATATCTGGTGCCCCTCGCCCAGCATTGTACCGGCCTCAGGCCCTGTTGCTCTGCTGGTCCTTGCCCCAACTGGGCTGTTGTAGGCTCCCAGCCCCTCCAGGCAGCCCAGCTGGGGTGTGCCAGACAGCCTAGCTGAGCAGTCCCATTGTGGCACAGTGAGTTCCCAGCTCTGCTAGGAAGCCTCGCTGGGGCATATGAGCTGCCAGCTGCGGGGATCTGGGCTCCTAAGCACCAGACCTCCTTTGGGACTCTCTGGTCCTGGAACATCTGTGGTCCTACTGAACCAGTGATGTTGCTAGATCAGAGAGTCCCAATTTACAGAGGTTCAACCTGTATTATTTATCGTGAGCAAGGATGATAGAATACGGCCACATCAATTAATATGTGAACTCTGGGAGCCTTTGTCTCTCGAATGAATGTGCTATAAAAATTGCATCAAAAATATATAGGAGGAGTTTGTCACTTGAAATATGTGACATAACAGCAGTGAGGCCAAATTGTTCCGTTTTTTTTTTTTTTTAATTGAAATTTGAAAGTGATTTTACTTAGTTGCTTTTAGGCCAGATGGGTAGCCTTTGCTTTTTTTAAGCACTTGGAGATTTGTTTCTCTTTTCTGGATGGAAAACAAAAATAATTGTTGTGGTCCTATTTTACTGAATAAATAGCACTTGCAACTGCATAATGCTACGAATAAACCGTATTTGTGCTGTTTTGGAATATTTTAGAAATTGATTTAATAAAATCTTATGCCCATATAACGGTGATTCTAGATATATTGGTAGTTAAGTTGCATCATAATCATACTCTAATGTGCAGTTACAATGTTAAAAAGTGACTGTATAGAATGGGAACTTAATGAAAATATCTTCACTCCCTTGTATATTTTTAAGCCATGCCAAAAAATGGTTGTATTGCTCTTGTTGCACCTAACAAAATAGAGCTTGCATGGTTCTAAGATAAGCTGGAGCCTGTTCTCCTCATGCTTCATCAACGGAATTGTTTACTTAAGTTTTAACTGTGCACTCTTTGAGAATGCTAATGATGTGTGAGCCAGACAGCGCTTTCAGATCTAAGTATAGTTTGCAAAGCTAGCACGTCACAGGTGGAAACATCTGTAAATTAAAAAGTGTCTGGATAAAATAGCACAAAGAGGCTGCATGTTTATTATCTATCAGACTCCACACCAAATTTGTTCAAAGTATAAACATACATTAAAACCTTTCAGTATAATAGCTTGCCTTAAGAGAATTTATGGCTTACCTTTTTAAAACTTCTTAAAGAAAACAAATGCTATACCTAGTATTACTAGTGCATATGCTTCCTTACCCTCTTCTCTACTTGTTTGCACTCCTGTTCCTCTTATCTGGTTTTTATACTTTGAGACTGTTCTTTATTAGTTATTGTTTTTGCCCCCCCCAGAACAAAATTGAACTATAATCCTCCCAAGGATGATGGATCTACATATAAGATTGAACTTGAAGGGATATCTGTTGAAATCATGAGAGAGATACTGGATTACATCTTCAGTGGGCAGGTATGGTGCTTAGCTGAATTATTACATTTCTCTAATGTTTCCTCTAATCTTTTCCATCCATGTGTGGAATACATTTTGTCATGTGCACCGAAGCATGTACAAATGTGCCCCACCAGGAGAAACACTAACCTAGCTGTGAGTGCTTTGCTAATCAGCTGGGCAGCATTAGAATCTCTCCTAAATGACTGCACAGCTTACAAGTAACCTCTAATTCAGCAGCACCAATTAGAGATTAATCCCTACTTTTTTTTGAATGATAGGAAAAGACAAAAAGAGAGAACTTTAGGTTTAAAGTCATTGCTATGAATTGACTTCTGAAAGCCAGAATACAGGCTACTGATATGAACCAAAAATAGATTGTAAGCACTTCAGATGTGCTTCTCTTGCTCTGCTTAGTGTCATGTATCCCAAGAAACAAACTTTAAACAATAAATATTAAACTTAAAAAAAAAAAACCTCACTCCTCCTATCAGTTTCTTCACTAAGTTGTTTTTAAAGTATGTGTGATTTTGGGACTTGTGGAAGGTGTCTGGATTGGCAACCCAGGAAACAAAAATGTTCTGTGAAGGATTTCAGTCTGGGCTGTCCAGGCTTCCCACCTGAGTGCTTCGCCAGTATCCGTCAACTCCAACCATTTAAGGCTGACCATGCTTTTCTGTCTTTACACCCATTCAGTCTTCCTTAGAACCTGTTAAGACGCCGATCTGAACACAGATTAAAATCAGCTTTAGTTTTGTCCATTGGGAACCAGACTGACAGTGCTGAATTTCAAAACAGGTCACCAAACAGTCATCAGGTGGCATCGACTCCTGGTTAGCTGAAACCATTAAAAAAAAAGTTTAATCATCAAGGCCACAGTAAAAAAGAAAACCGTGTAGTTGGGGCTGTAATGTCTCTTCTGTGGTGCTGATTTGGCTTAACAGCCAAAATATAGTTCATCTTCCTGAATGAGTGTAATAATTTCATGGATCCTTCAGACAGAGCACTCCTGATGCCTTCTGCCCTGCTAGCACTCTCCCTTTCCCCAGTTGAGTTGCCCACCAGCAGTGGCTTTATCCTTGTGCATGGTAGTTTCTAATGCTCTTTTGCAGCTATGTTATAGTCCGTTATTCAGCCAGTAAGGCAGGGATCGGCAATAAAATGGTGGTGGTTTGCCGGCGTAGCCCCTGGCAGTCTGCTGCCACTATATTTACCTGTCCTTTCACAGGTATGGGTGATTGCAGTTCCCATGGGCTGTGGATTGCTGTTCCCAACCAGTGGGACCTGGGATATGGTGTCCTGGTCCGCGCTGCTTCCTGCAGCTCCCATTGACCAGAAACAGTGATCCACGGCCAACGGGAACTGCAATCACCCATACCTGTGGAGGCGCAGGCAAATATAGCAGCACTAGCCGGCCCCAGGGGCTAACCCTGGTGAATTGGATCTGGCCCATGGGCTGGTATTTGCCCATCTCTGTGGTAATGGCAAATCTGCACTGACGCACTACATCAGTGCTGCTGTATTCATGCAGCTGGGCCACTGTAGCGCATCTGCTGAAGACATGCTATGCCAACAGGATAATTCCTGCATCTCTGAGAGAGTCAGAAACTGTCATCAGTGGAGTGTCTCCAGCTTACATGGTGCTTGTGTGGACAGCACTTACGAGGATGTAAATTGTCGTTTAGGAAGCTGTCTCTTTTCACATCCTGAGTGACGTAAGTTACATCAACATAAGCGATAGTGTAGACCCATCCTAAGAATTAGTTATAAAGTTGTATCAGACAGTGAATTATGGATTGTAGTTGTAACTTTTTACAATGAACTCTTGCAGATCAGGCTAAATGAAGACACTATCCAAGATGTTGTGCAAGCAGCTGATCTCCTGCTTCTTACAGATCTTAAAACTCTCTGCTGTGAGTTTTTAGAAAGTTGTATAGTTGCTGAGAACTGTATTGGTATTCGGGACTTTGCACTGCACTATTGTTTGCGTCACGTTCACTACCTTGCCTCAGAATATCTGGAAACTCACTTCCGAGATGTCAGCAGCACAGAGGAGTTCCTGGAACTGAGTCCCGAAAAATTGAAAGAAGTGCTGTCTCTGGAAAAGCTGAATGTTGGAAATGAAAGATATGTATTTGAAGCAGTAATTAGATGGATCTCCCATGATTCAGAATTAAGAAAGGTATGGTGTGCTAAATTAAGTAGCTCGCTTATTAAATTGGGCTCACATTCTGTGCTTGTTTAAAATTACCTGATAGGAATACGATGCAGATGCATTTTCTTTTTTTACTTATATTTCTAGGATTTAAATATTGCACTGTATATAAATCTGGAAAATAGATTCCGTCTTTTGAGTTGAAGTCTTGCTTATAATGTAGATGCAGCCTCCTTTTTTGGTTGCAGATAAAAACACTAAATGAAATAACGCATCGTTAATTTTGTGTGTTTTTTATACAAGCTTATTGTTGGCTATGGGGATGTTACCATTGTTTGTCACAAGACCTGGAGAATAAACTACTTTCTAAAATAGTTTTATATTGAAATTAAATTGTTCTATCCATAAAAATATGTTTCAGTATTTTCTATATATAAGAGATACGTCACATAAGATTTTCCTTTAAACTATATTCTAAAGTGTGATAAAAATTCTTGGTTTTTATTAAAAGTGCCTTGGAAATTTTGAATTTTTCTTGTTCTCCAGGTTCACCTGAAAGATGTCATGTCAGCAGTATGGGTTTCAGGATTAGATTCAATTTATTTGCGTGAGCAGATGATGAGCGAACCATTGGTACGGGAGATTGTCAAAGAATGTAACAACATTCCACTCACTCCACCACAGCAAGGGGAGGCAATGCTGGCTTCTTTCAAACCCAGAGGTTATTCCGAGTGCATAGTGACTGTTGGGGGGGCAGAGAGAGCGTAAGTATTCAGTATGTAACCCAAATAAATAACTTGTGCTATGTAAGCAATTAATGGACAGATGGTAACTTTAATCAAAAGTAATGATAAAGTGAAGTTAATATTAACTCATTTAGTGCTGAATTAAGTGGGCGCACATACAAAACTTGATGGATTTTTTTTAGCATAGTTAGCTGTCCCTAGAATACTCTCATGTTTGATTCATATTAGAATATCAGATTTCTCCAGTGAATGAGTTTCTTAATTTAAAATTCTGAAAATTTATCTTTAACAAATATTAAAGTATAAATGAATATCTAGCATTATCTTTACGTGTTTGAGACACTTTCCAAAAAACCTACTCTAATCACATGTAATGATAGCTCCATTGATTGTCTGAATGAGGTTTGTGAGAGTTCTTAAAATAACAGTTTGGTTCTACAGCAAATTTCTGATTTAAAACATTCTCAGTATTGATAGTGAGGTGGAAAGTTGAAGACACAACTTTTGTGGCACTGTAACGCTGGTGCCAGAAGAATTTTGTTCAGACTCTCAAACTGATGTGAAAGTCCCGAGTAAGAATAAATATGGAACGCCAAAGCAACACTTTACAGGGTTGGGTTTTTTTCAGATCAGTATTCCGTTTTAATAAAATATGAAATGCCTGCTTTAGCATCAGGATCTACCTACATTGCCAAAGTAGATTCTCTGTCATTACATTGATATTTAAGGTGACAATGTCCATTCTCCACAAAATAATCCTTTTCTTTTCCTCAAGTATTTTGTGGGTGCAGGAAAAAGGTATTGTTCTTTGCTCATCAAGCTCTAACCTTTTGCTCACTATTGACTAAACTCAGTAACAAATCCTGTTCCATTACATTTAAAACTCATTCTACTGGGAAAGAAATCCTAATGTTCTATAAAATTCCTCATTGACTAGAGCCATATCCAATTACTTTGTATCATATTTTCTCACCATCTCTCTCCTCCTTTCTTGTATGTTTACAAAATTAGATTGTAAGGTCTTATGTGCTGGGACTGTGTCCTAGTGGCATTTTTCCAGATGTACATATTATGAATCTATACATAAAGAGTGTGTGTGTGTGTGTGTGTGTGTGTGTGTGTGAGAGAGAGAGAATATGATGAGATTAATGTGTATTTCCTCCTTTTTTCAGGTCACGGAAACCAACAGCTGTGATGCGATGCATGTGTCCTCTTTATGATCCTAATAGGCAACTCTGGATTGAACTTGCCCCTATGAGTACTCCAAGGATCAACCATGGCGTACTCTCAGCAGGTAAATGACAGCATGTTTCTTTAACAAAAAGCCAATGGAGTATAAACTCGAAAATGGGGCTTACTTCATAAAGTAGTTGGCTTACTTCGAATAAGCTGCACTAAAGCCTGTTTGTTTTTCCCTACCAGCCTTCCCACATTATGCTGCTTTGTTTTTGTGAGGATTCCCTCCAATGTGAGGATCTTGTCATCCCAATTTAATATTTTGTTGGAGTCTGCTGAATTTGTCACTGTTAGAACATTTTACTTTTCAAGTAACTGCACTTGTGACTTACTTCAGTAGTGTTTGAACTGGGAACATCAGTGCTGAATTTGGCCTCTAGAATCTGCACTGGTGGGTTAAATAGTGTGTAAAAGTATATTCTTTAACATTTGCCAGTCTGGAGTACAAAATAATATTTTTATGAACCTGTGATTTCCACACTGTAGCTCAGTGTCTTGTGACAAGGATTGGTCTGACTTCCATTTTAAAATCTTCACATGCACTTTGTTTTACAGAAGGATTTTTGTTTGTACTTGGAGGTCAAGATGAAAATAAGGATACTCTGAGCTCTGGAGAAAAATACGATCCTGATACCAATTCATGGAGTTCCTTACCACCAATGAATGAGGCAAGATCACTACTAGCTGAATAAGGGTTTACTTTTCCTTTGAAAAATAGAGGAGCACTAGCTTAGGACTTTGGAGATCCTTGCTCTGCTACAGACTTCTTTCGTGACTTTGGGCAGGTCATTTGGCCTCTCTCTACCTCACTTCCCTCTCTGTAAAATGGTGATAATAGTATTTTCCTATGTAACAGGAATATTGTGACGATAAGTACATTAGAAGATTTGGAGGCATTTCCAATGGTATGTGAATCAGGGTCATATGAGCACTATGGACAAATCATACTTACATGATGCAGTATAGGTCAGGACAATTTGATTTTTCCAGCTGCTTGCACTTGATTCATCCAAAGCCATAGCGCAGGGTGTGCGGGGGCGAGGGGAGGGGGATTTGCTAAATGTCAAGTCTGGATTAGTAATAACTGCAGCTTCTGCTAAACTTTGGTTATTGAAGCTATAGAGTTGACCTGCATAATTTCCTATGAACTCTAATATATGGTTCTGTTCATAAAGTGACCCATTAGAGTTTATTGGCCTTTAAAAATAAGTATCTATAAAATAGTATTGAGAATCTAACCTGACGAGAGGATTGGACCATGCAGAAGGATGGGCAGGAAATGGGGGCAGAGCAACACAGGGATAGTGACATGAACCTTACCTTAAACTTCCCACCTTGGCTTAGAGGGTGTGTTTCTGTCTTTTTTCATGTTCTAATTGCCATTAAAAAGTGACTATTCCACTATATAAGAATTTAGGTTCTGAAAGTCACGTGTATTGGGTGCTGATTTTTTTTTTTACGCTAGTTCAGGTTTTTTTTAGAAGTTGTTGATTGTGTTCCAAGATTTTCTTCACCAAAGGCGTCCTTTTGAAATAACTCATCCTTGCACCTTAGGAGATCTCAGGCTAACTCTGTTGGTGATAACAGTGGAATCTGCAATGGTGCTAGTGTTTTTACTTTTACACTTTTACTCAAACGAAACTACAGGTTCAGCTACCATCGAGAGCAGAACCAGTGGGGAATTATGGGTTCGGGTTGTTTTCAGCATTGATTGACCAGACCTGGATTCTTGCTTCCTGATTTGTTGTTAAAAATAGAGCATGATCCATAGCTCAGATCCTTGAATATGAAGGAAACATGCTACTATTCACTTGGCAAACCGCTGTTTTAACTTAATGCCCTTATTTGTCTTGCATATTAAATTAGAGCTTAAAAACTTGCTCTGGAAATTGATATTATGCATAATTGTATTTTTAATAGAGGAGCTCTCCATTACAAATTTCTTCAGGTAGAGCAAGTGTTAAAAATGGTTACATAACCACCACTGTTGTTGTAAATATGCTACTTCGATGTTTATTGTTGTCTCTTACAGGCACGACATAATTTTGGTTTGGTAGAGATTGATGGAATTCTGTATATTCTGGGAGGTGAGGATGGAGAAAGGGAGCTATCCTCTATGGAGTGTTATGACATTTATAACAAGACCTGGACCAAGCAGCCAGATCTGACCATGGTTAGAAAGGTATGGACAACATCATAACTTAGAAAAGCAGCACTGTTTTTTTTTTTTTTTAATCTCTATTCAAATATTTGCACTGTTTATATTACAGCTTTTATTTGAAGTAAGTATTTTTCAATGAAAATAACATGGCAGGAGGAGAAAAAGAGTGTCTCTCTCTCCTTTTAATTTATATATCAAAGCAAAATGTTCTAGAAAGAATTTTTTATAGATGGCTGTTTGAGATGCAGTTTGGGAAAACCAAATGTCTTTTTCTTTGTATAGCTTTCATCTTTCCCTTAGATGCAATGGTGATGAATTTTTAAATGAAAGGATGATTTTTTCCTTTTTTAATGCATATTTGTTTACCTCTTTGATACTGCCCTTTCAGAATAATATAAAATCTTACTTCATTTGGTCTGATCTTTCATATTATTACTAAAATGAATAAACTTGAAGAAAAAGTAGTGCATCTACTTTGGTCTGACTAATAAACATTCAAAAATTAATATATCCTGTAGCTAATTGATCGGCTTTTTAAGCCAAGTGTCAGTAATGCACTTGTATGCAGTCAAAACATTTTGCAGAGAACCTCAGAAATAATTATAGAGTATATAATAAATGGAAAAAATTGAACTGTGGCCCAGTGTGAAAATTGCTGTGCCTTCTTAATATCTGTTCACAAAATACATAAACAATAATCCATTAGCTTACTTATGGTAGTGGCCCCTCCCATAAATAAGTTCCATATTTTTAGCTAGTTATCAGGTGTAATTTCTGAGAATACTTGTTCTATTGTTTCTACTGAGTAATTCTAAATAAAAATGGAGTGAGTAGCTGAATGTGAACTTTTCTTTTCCAAGCAAACACAGAAGTTCTCTTTTGCTAGAAACTAGAAATTTTATATTGATTGATCGATAAGTTTCCAGAAAGCAATCTATATCTTGCTTACTGCTCAGATTGTGTTGTAATAATGAGACTGGCTAACTATTGAATGATGACTTGATTTCCACATCTAAGACATTCATGTAGTCGAAGATGCTGTAGATTTCAACTTCTGATTTTTCTCACTCTTTTTTTTTTTTTTTTTTTTTAATAGATTGGCTGCTATGCAGCTATGAAGAAGAAAATCTATGCCATGGGCGGAGGCTCCTATGGAAAACTGTTTGAATCTGTTGAGTGCTATGACCCTAGGACTCAGCAATGGACTGCCATCTGTCCACTAAAAGAGAGAAGGTGAATAAGATGCATGTGCACATCCAGGGTACAAGGATGCTTGTTTGTCATTTAAAACTAAAAAAAGGGGGATTTAAAAATATGGCCCAAACCCACTTATTTTTAAAGAAACTAATTAACTTTTAATTTCAGAGTGGCTGTGTGCATGTCTGACGTTAGTATTTATTTACTAGTCAACAGCTTGCACAGCTGTTTTAATGCTAAGGCCTGCGTCCTGTGGTAAGTTGAGCTGTTTTGTGCTACTCTGATAATGCAAAGCAGACCTAAGGCTGGCAAAGAGGGTGCCAGATGGATACTCTGTCTCTCTTAATTGTCATATGGCTTGAAGCTGTCATATTAGTTGCTACCCCTCCCCAGCTGTCGTGCTGGAGAGGTGAGATAGGAAGAGCCTTTTGCTCTTAGGAGTACTAAGTACTTATCAGTTGTAGCTGAGGATCCTTGTCCAAAGATGGCTGTTTCATGTAGACTCGTGGTATTGCGAGAATTGCTAGTATACAGGATGGAAAAACAGAAATTGTATTGCTTCAGTACTGCAATTCATACTGTATTTCAACTTAGAGCTTTGTCTCAACTCTGCTACTCTATTTTATACAATGACTTATAAGTCGTTTTAAATATTACTTCATACTTGTTCTACTTCTGCAGAATATGGAAGAGCTATAGAAGTGTGAAGGGCATGGACAGCATTGTGGTTCTGTATACTAAATATTCTCTGTTTGATTCTCCTTTTGTCCCTCAGATTTGGGGCAGTGGCATGTGGAGTTGCCTCAGAGCTTTATGTATTTGGTGGAGTCAGAAGTCGTGATGATAATCAGGCCACTGAGATGGTGACATGCAAATCTGAATTCTATCATGATGAGTTTAAAAGGTAACTAGTTCTTGCTGTAGACATAGAAAATCTCTAACCTCTCTCTTACCCCTTGTTTCCTCTGAAGGCACACTAGAGTTCAGATAATTTTTCAACAAATGCCTGTTATTCTTACTCGTCTTATCTCAAAGGAATTGAACTGGATATTTATACCTGTGGTATCAATTTTGCCCAAGGAACTGATTGTTAGCAAACTGATGGCTCTGTGTTTATTTCTGGTTGTTCATAACTTACAAGCTCTAATATTTACTGTGTTTCTCTTTATTTCAAGAGATTTGCCATTGTTATCAGATATTCTAATTGTTTTAAGTAGTAAGCTGGGGGGTAGAGGAGATAATGTTCATTAGGGATTTTAAATTTAGATTAACAATCGAATAGTCGATGGGTTTTCCATCGACTATTCGATTAGTTTACAAGGGTGCTTCCGCCTTTGAACTGTAGCAAGAGCCATCCCAGGCTCTTGCTACAGTTCAAAAGTGGAAGCCCCCCAGGGAAGTGGGATCAGCACCTGAACCTTTGAAAAGTACAAGAGTCCCAGAGCTCTTGTACCTTTAAAAAAAAAAAAAAAAAGCCCTGCATGGAGTGTGGGACCAGTGGAGAGTCCCCTGCTGGTCCTACGCTCCCTGTGGGGCTTCTTTTTTTAAATGAAGCCCACTGGGGCTCTTGTACATTTCAAAAGCAGAATCACTGCAGAAGTGGGGTAAGCGGAGACTACTTCAGTTCCCGCTTGCACTGTTTCAGCTGTGCTTCTACCACACTCATGGAGACGGTGCTGGGGGGAGCCAGCTTTTAAGCTGGCTCTCCCCAGTACTGGGTCCTGCTTTTCCTCCTCCCCTCCCCTCCCCCACTTGCTGTCTTTCTCTAACAAAAGCGACTAGTCGCATCACTAGTGAGGGGAGGGAAAGCAACTAGTCGCATTACTAGTCGACTAGTCTCTTTGTCTATGTCTACACTTGCACCCTAGTTTGAACTAGGGATGAAAATGTAGGCGACCGAAATTGCTAATGAAGCGCAGATTTAAATATCCCGCGCTTCATTAGCATGATCTCACTGGCGCGTTGCTCCGCTCAACAGCTGTTTTGAAAGTGAAAGTGCGCGCCGGGACGCATTAGTTCGAACCAAGGGTTTGGTTCAAACTAATGCGTCCCGGCGCGCACTTTCACTTTCAAAACAGCTGTTGAGTGGAGCAACACGCCGGTGAGATCATGCTAATGAAGCACGGGATATTTAAATCTGCGCTTCATTAGCAATTTCGGTCGCCTACATTTGCATCCCTAGTTTGAACTAGGGTGCAAGTGTTAGACGTACCCTTACATCCCTATTGTTCATGTCTTAAGACCTTATCTTTATATATAGACTTGTGCGTATTCCATAGTACGAAAATAAAATAGTGGATTCTCGGTTGATTTTTATTTCTGAAGATGTAGATTTAATGTGACTTTGTCAACTTTGATATGAAAAAGTTTTACCTGTTACAAGTAACATCCAAGATGACTAACTGAGAGAACCTAAAGAAAAATAGCTTTCTCTAATTTTTCTCCCCAGTTTTGTTTACTTTGTGTATAGTCAACTATAATTGGTTTCACATGTTGCTTTCATGGTCCCTTCATATAACAGAACAGCGAAGAGAGACTTTGGGGAAAATGTGATTATAAAATCAACAATACTAGCAAGGCAATTGGGGACTCAGGAAAGACCTAGCTTCTGAAACTCTGGTAAACACACACCCCACTACTGACTGCCACTCTTTTGCATTGAAACCCTTTCAGGGTGCATCTGTTTTTCAAAAGTTGTTTGTAATAGGACTCCAGATCCTATGACAGTTTAAAAACTTCCAACAAGGTTGGTTGATTCATGTTAGTTTCTAAAAAGTTTACAAACCCCTGCCCTATCCAAATTTGGGATACAGATGGGATGGTAGGTAATGTGTTGTCACTGCTACGAAGGCTACATCTACACTCTAGCCTTCTTGCGGAAAAGCTTATGCAAGTGAAGCTCGGTGTGGAATATTGCTGCACTTCATTTGAATAATTAATGAGCAGCTGCTTTTGCGCAAGAGGCTTTTGCGCAAAAAAGAGCAGTGTAGATGTCTCCTTTTTGCGCAAAAACCCCTCTTGCGCAAGAGCTGTTCTTCCTCAAAAAATGATATTCCATGCCGAGCTTCATTTGCATAAGATTTTCTGTGAGAAGGCTACAGTGTAGACATAGTCTTAGAGGGTTTAGTACAAATGTTGGTAACTGGTAATGGTTTTAAAAATCTTGTACACCAAAGATGCCCCTTTTGGACAGAGGTATTCTATGAGGCAACCACTGAAAATTCTGTTCAACTGCTTAAAGTTATAACTATTCGCAGATAGAATGATGGGCTTCTTACAGAAAGTTTTGGTTTTTAACTTCTCATGCAACTAGGAAAGGAAAACGCAATTTAGTAAAACAGTAACTGTCAATTTTCATTAAACTTGTCAAATTAAAAAAAAATCAAGACAAGAAGATCTTTTCATTCCCTCCCCTCCCCCCAAAAACATTTTTAAAAAGCTAATCTTCAGTTTCATTTTAGTCATTTCAATGAACAATCCTAGGCCAAGATTTCAGACAATAGCCTCTGTGTCTTGCAGATGCACTTCAGGATGCTTAGAAGTCCAGATCTCAAGTGCACTCTCAGTTGTTGGCAAATGTAAAATTATGTCTAGGTTTATTAGTGCCTACAAAAATGGGGGCATAATGAAGATCAAACTAAAAATTTGGCCCCAGTCCATAAGTAAATGTTGTGTAATAGTCCAGCTTTGTAACTTACGGTTAGATGTACTGTAGTTTCAGTTACCAGAGGTATCTGGTTAGTCTTTAAAATGCAACCTAGGTTTTCCTTTTGTTTTAGCAAGATCAGACTAACACAGCTTCCTCTCTATTACGCTTCAGAGGTAGAACGGACAGTATTTTATAATGCTGTTTACCAGAAGAGGGCACTATATTACCATGTAATGTTTTAGTTGACTAGGTATTGGTAATAAGGATGAGGAGTCATTGAGTGTTTCAGATGCGTTCTGAATGCTACATATTTTGAATGTAGTTCATCTTAGTCATTAAAATAATTTTACGGGTTGTTGAAGTTGTAACTTTCAGTCACAATTTTAAAAAGAATATATACCAACTATAAGAAGCTGCATTTTACTAAACAAAATACTTTCTATAGTGCCTAAATAATTTTCATATTCTCTGAAGAAAGATTGCTGGTATAATGAAGTGATCTTGTTACTGATATAATACAGCCTATGATATGTTTCAAAACAATAGAATAGGGGTAGAGAAACTTTTTCGAGTCCGGGGCTGCTGACCTATAGAAAAATCAATCCGGGGCCGCACATAAGTGAGAAGCGAAGTGAGAACCCCCTGACAGAGAAGGAAAAGACACTCCTCACGTTCCCTTTGCACACAGGAGCCGAGGGGGCTCAGGCTAGTAGATTTTATATGCTGTAGCCCTGTGGGCAGGTGACAGGTGGGTTGGAGTGCCAGCACAAGCACCTCAATACAGGAAGATCCCTGAGTCTTGGAGGCCAGATCCAGGCAAGCTGGGGGCTGCATCTGGCCCTGAGGTTTCCCACCCCACAATAGAAGAATGAGGGTAAGTTGACTGTTCCTGGAAAAACATCCTTGTGTCAGTTCCCACTTTTTGTGACTTGAATTTGAGTGGAAGGCTGAAATTTAAATAATAATTGTTCAGATTTGTAGATAATATATTCTGAAGAATAATATTCTTTGCTTGGAATACAGAATCTTCCACTTGCATCACATAAAAGAGATGCTTTGTTATATACATCATTATAACTTCACTAACACTCTGCTGAGGCATGAGTTTTGAATGAAATGGATAGCATTTGCTCCTCATGTTACAGACTGATTGAACAATGTATCATTACTGTGATGTAAATAATATTAAATCTGTTTCTCTTATCCACCTTCTCTTGCTTGTATAATATTAGTTAGTCATTATAGACAGTTTACTTGTTCCCACAGTAACACATCGTTGCCTGCCTCTGTGTGATACACACTGTAGTAATGGGTTGTGAAGGAATTGCATACTTTGAAGGTGTATCTATAGAAGGCTCCCTTTTTAAAAAGGAAGAGAAAACACGTGTCAGATCCCAATCCTATTAGAAGGGCAGTGTGCTTCAGAATTTTTGTCTCGTTAAAATGCATCAATCCTATTGGAACCACTTGTTTTTCTAGCTAAAACTTCAGTACTGTTGGTGTGTATGCATATGACAGACAGCTATCCAGAGTATTGGGTTTAAGTAAATACAGTTGGGATTTTGCCTCTGTTAAATGGAGCAAGAGCAACAAGATTAGTGCTTAAACTACATACGATGGCTAGGTACTTCCAAAAAATCCTCCTTGGGCTTTTTGTGTCTGTTGATTTTTGTGTGCTGTGCCACAGAGAGCCAATGAATGTTGTGTAGACAGAAACTAAATGTTTTCTGCTTTCTGGTTTTCACTTGTGGTGATAGCAACTTCCCCTTCTACAATTTGCTGTATGAATTAAACCTCTTTAGACTATTGACTGGAAGATACTGATGTTCTCATTGGTATGTTCATAGCAGGAAATCAAATTGTATGTGGGCACCAACAATGAATTAAAAAACCCTTTGCCTGTTTTGGCCTAGCAGCTCTGAAGGAAGCAGAAACACGACAGCTGCTGCATACTTGCAGATCATGGAGGTTTGAGGTTAGTTACAGGTAGCAGATACTGGAGTAGTCTGCATGTTGTCGTGAAGTACAGATTTTTTTTGTGAATGGAAACATTTTTTCCTCAATAAATCACTATCTGTCAACTCAGCCATTTGATATTAATAATATTTATGACTTACATAGCAGCAATATAGTTATAGGATTATCCAGGCCCCTTGCTACAGCCCTCACTCCTTCAGTAGCATTCTAACTCCTAGATCTTGTTACTTGAAAATTTGGGCCTCATTTCTGTTACCTGATCTGCATAGACAGATGTA